GAGTAATAAGAATACAGACCACTTCGAATTATTTTATAAGATTCTGTTTTGTTAGGTACATTGAAAATGATGATAAAGAATGACTAAATTTAATTTTAAGGTCTGAAAATAAATAAAAGGGTGATTTATGACATTTTCAACTGTTTTTTGTTACACTGACTATGTTTAAAAAAACCTGTTGACATGTCCGGGTTCTGGACTCTAAAATCCGGGGTTTTCACGCGTCTTGTCCTAGTTTCCAAATTTTAGAGATGGCAACCCTAGTTAGGAGGGGTAGAGGTAGACTTAGATTAGATTACTGTTCGCAAATAGTTAAGAATGCGGGATGTTCTAGTTTTAGGGAAATTCGAAGATTAGCTCAGAGGATAGGAAAGAGTGGAGGTACGTGTCCAACCAGTCTTAGGACTGACGACCTTGTAATGATGATGATGATGAAATAAACGAAACCTAACAGAAACCACGATTATTAATAATATGTGTAATAAATCAAGTAAGTATCCATTTTGAAGAGTGAATTTTAAAACATTTCGGTGCTTTCCTCATATCAAATATACATTTTTGAAATATTTATACAAAAATATGATACTTTGTATTTGAAATCTTAAAAAAAATTGTATAGTAAAAGTGAAACCAGTGACTTTTGTTGTAGAATAAGCAATTGCAAAAAACCAAAATCACAACACCACTTAGATTTACAATTCACGTAAACTGTACTGTGAAACTTTTACCGTAATAATTGAAAAATATTTTGTTACATGCACATACATATACAAAAAAGTAGGTATACCTTCATGATTGACAAGTCGCACAGCACTACATCAACAAAATAAACATTTATTTCGTTTTATACCACGAAATTAGTATTCACAGAGGAATCCTTAAGGAAACATGCCGCACAGACATGTTACACACACATACATAATGTATACGATTGTATAACAATTGAAACGAAATTCGGCCTTATTTTCGACTATGAGGCAACACTGTGTCGAACAATAGTCATTAACGCTTGCACCATTTAAAAATTCACGACAAGTTCGTTTAGCAAATTTTTTCCGCGTAAAGAAACAATCACTAATTGCAAGGTACTATTACTGTTCGGTATGACCGGGTCCATGAATAGTCTAATATTTCAGCGTCACGCAATGTCATCCAGATTTGCGTAGAATTCACAAGTGCATTTTTAAATTTCTCATTTTTATTTAAATTTACTAACGCACGTACTGTACCACCTTTATTTCGACTTGCATTTGAAATCTGCCGACACCATGAGATTCTACGTACTTTTTTACGTAATATTCTTTAGTTAGAATCTCCAGGATAATTTTTCAGGGGTAGAAAATTCACGAGCGCCTTTTTATATTTAGCATTTTTACGTAAATTTACCAACGCACACGTTATACCGCCTTTATTTCGAATCGCATCTGAAATCTGCCGGCACCATGAGATTCTACGTACCTTTTTACATAATATTCTTTAGTTAGAATCTCCAGGATAATTTTTCAGGGGTAGAAAATTCACGAGCGCCTTTTTATATTTAGCATTTTTACGTGAATTTATCAACGCACCCATTGTACCGTCTTTATTTCACACCGCACGTGAAATCTGCCGACACCATGAGATTCTACGTACATTTTTACATGGTATTCGTTAGTTAGAATCTCCAGGATAATTTTTCAGGGGTAGAAAATTCACGAGCGCCTTTTTATATTTAGCATTTTTAGGTGAATTTACCAACGCGCAAATTGTACCGCCTTTATTTCGAATCGCATCTGAAATCTGCCGTCACCATGAGATTCTACGTACATTTTTACATAATATTCGTGAGTTAGAGTCTTTATAATAATTTTTATAGGAATAGATTCAAATTTTATTTTTCTAGTAAAGTAAGAACAGAAAACTTAAAACCAATGGGTAACTGTATTAATTGGTTCATAGTTTCTTATAAAGAAGAATAAAATAGACTTGTATTTTAATTAATGAATTACTGATACTTGGTGCTTTGAGAAAGGTCTTATCCCCCTTGTAATAGCTTTGGTCATTTTTAATTAAATTATCCTTTCCTGTGTTATAGAAATGGGACAGCAGCTGCCATCTATCTCGTGAGCAACCTCTTACAACTTTGTGTTTAAGGAAACACATAGGCGTAACATTCGTAAAACTATATCAGACGTTTATAATATTTTACGTTACAAATTTTGGCAATTTAAATAGGTTTGTCTTCAAAAATATATGTAGTTATTTAATTTTCAACACCGAATGCAGTGGTTTTGTTTCTTGATTTTTAGATAGCTATCATAACATAAAATGGCATTTGCCATGGAAAGTTGAGACAAAATGCACTCTAGCATTGACAAAAATACGTTTGTGTCTGTCATACTGTATAACTGAAAAATGGTAAGGATTTTCGTTTAATTAACTATCTGTAGTTTTAATTGTATAAAAACATCTAACTTTAAATTAATCAATTAACAAGGTAATCATAGTTGCACAATAGAACAACTTCAATTCTTGAATTAATTAGAGGTATGCTTGAATGATTTCTATTAATTCAAAAAGCAAAAGAAAAATAGAAAATCCTACTCTTTTAGACGATTATTTATTATACTTTTTGTCTTATTAATTGTGGTTTGTACGCCTCTGACATGCATTCAATATTCTACTCCAAGGTCATTAACGTCAATAATTCTTTGCATACATGTGCAAATTTTTAAAAAATAAAGAAAAGTACTGATTAGACTTAATTAATTTCTTCATAGAATATGAAACAAAATATTGGTTATTAGGTACGTATTTTTATTTTAACCTATACAAAGTTAATACATCTGCATAATGTTATAAGTAAAGTACAAAGATCGAAATTTAAATAATTTTAAATGAGGACAAGTTTGTCATTAACTTGGAAGTGTATTACATAAAATACTAAATTTGAATAAGTAAATTGTTGTACTTTGTCCCCTTAATATTCCATCTAAAGTGTGTGTAATAGGTATTAATAGTTTTTTAGGTTACATTTGTAATTATTCAATATTATTGAAATATTGAGATTGTGATTCATTTTAGTTTTAGACGCTGAAGGACAAGCTAATAATTTACTGTTTTTAACAAAAGAGCTTTGTAATGTAATGGTTAATATCTTTTCTAGGGAACTAATCGTAAAAGTTATCTTAGTGTTCAGCGATGCAGAGCAATGATATCTTTACGAAGAAAGAGAATAATTAGAAGGTATGAAATGTAACTAATCTATGCATTTTTTATTGTTATTTTTTGCATAAATACCACTAAAGAATTTTAATGCAATTTAAAAAGGTTAATTAAGTGTAATATTATTTGGAAAAGTTTTTGTATGTTACACTAACTTTAAACTTACAAAGTTACAAACATATTTAACTAATCATACAAATCATCAGAAAAACAAATATAATGTTAGTTGTGATAATGTTTAACTAATACAAGTAAAGTAATTATAAGTGCATGTTTTGATTACTGTACGTAACGTATGTAACAGTTAAAAATTCTTTTGGTATTAATGCATGCTCATATTTCCACATGCTTTTACCAGGTTGTGCTGACGTGAAAATTTCTGTACCCTACTTATCAAATACCTATTTGAAATGTCTGCTGAAGATTCCAAGAAAAGGTGCTTCATCAAAGACTTTATTGCAACTCTTATTCATGCAGCAATAATTCCAGTTATTCTGTATCATCTCTATTTGTATGATATGTAAGTAAATCAACACTCTTTTGGAATGCTTATTTTTCTTTTCTTTTGAAAAAGTTTTTCACGTCTTCACACTGTAATAATTTGCACCTTCTATTATCCCCTCCATCCCTCTTGTAGTTGTACCTTTTACATACAGGATGATTCCTTATAATAAATATATTCGTTTTATTTACCAGATTAATTTTATTATATTAAAAAAAAAATAAGAACATTCAATTCGGCATACAATTTGGCTAGCTACTTCTAAAAGGGATGACTTTAAAAATTTGATGGTACTATAAAAAAATTTAACTTTAATATTGATGTCAATGCATGTTACTATCCCAACTTTTTTTGTTCTTTACAGAATATTATTTGGAACCTTTAAGTTATTACTTTTGGCCTTTTTCATTGTATTTGTAATTGGTCCCCTTGTTTTCAAATACTCGTACAGTCTTCAAAGAAGCGTGATTTTTCTTAATTACGGTAAGTGAAATACAATTGATTAAAAGGCTGTTATTATTACTTTAACGACTGTGTCATTTCTCCAGTGAATTTTCCTGTTAATCCTAATTATTCCAATCCTGCTGCTTACGGTCTACCCGGAGTTTTAAACTTTGACGTTATAACTGATGATAATATAAAATTGGGAGTATGGTACATACTACCAGAAGAAATTATTAAATCGTCCCATAACGATGTTGATATCAACACCCTCGCCACTGCTAAACAGGTTGTATTATACAACCATGGTAATTCTGGAAACCGTGTCAGTCCTCACAGAGTCGAATTGTACCAAGTTCTCAGAAAGTATTTTCACGTAGTTGCCTTTGACTATAGAAGTGAGTATTTTGGCCTTTTTTTTGTTGGTCATTAAGATTTTCCTTTTATTAACTAATAAAACGACAGGCTATGGAGATTCTTCTGATGTGGAACCTTCAGAAGAAGGACTGGTGAGTGATGCAAAGTTCATGTTCAAGTGGATTAGAAATCATACATCGTCTGACATATTTGTGTGGGGTCATTCTCTTGGTACCGCCATTTCAACAAGATTGGTTCGTGAACTGGAAATGGAAAAGATTCAAGCAACTGGTCTAATTTTGGAAAGTCCATTTAACAACATGAGAGAAGAAATTGCGAGGCATCCTCTTGCAACAGTAAATTAATTGCATCTAAAACAACAGATAATTAGAAATTATAAAAATTGTTCATTTTCAGGCCTTTAAAAACCTACCATGGTTTCAGTTTACTGTGGTAAATCCCATGCAGGAAAATGGCTTTAAATTTGAAAATGATAAAAATATACAAAACGTTAACTGTTCAATTCTTATTCTTCATGCCAAGGATGACTTTGTTGTGCCTTATCAACTAGGATATGAGGTACAACAGTCCATACTTTTTTCTTTACTTTTCTATAATATATTTTTTTTATTATTTGAAAGCTGTATAAGACTGCATTAAGTAACCGTCAAAATGGCCAAGGAAGTGTACAGTTGGAAAGCTTTGACTCCAAGTTTAGTTACGGACATAAGCATATTTGTCGTGCACCAGAATTGCCTCGAATAATAGAGTAAGTTGTTCAAACAGTTGTGGAATAATCGATCAATTAAAAAATTATTTTTGCTCTTAGAAATTTCATTGTCAAAGCTAGAGACGAATTTGGAACAAGAAATCAAAAAGACTTCAGCATGAACGTGTGATTATTTATTATAGGTAATTTCTGTCAGTATTTATTTGTGTTTTGTTTGCTTTTGTAATTTGTACTTTTTATAGGGTCTTTGCACTTATTGCAAGTTGTTCTGTATTTTCTATGTTTAATCAATAAGTAAAGTGATTTAGCAAAGGTGAAATTGAAATAATAATTATTCACACATTATTAAATAACTTTAACTTAAACCCGACNCTTATCATTTTATCGTAATTTAAAAACTTAGAAATTGCACGGTACACTATAGGAACTACGATAAATTTTCCCTAATCGGCGCCATGTTTTTAGGCTCCTCTCATTTGACGGATCCCAATACATTTAACTGGATTCTCGAAAGATAGACAGAAGGTAAATTAATTTTTAATTCAACACCTGTCTTTTTTGCTTTTCTTTAAAACTGTATAAAAAAATTGACCCAAGATTTCGTCAATAGAAACTTTTTCTTTCAGTATACGCACCTTCAGAAGGATTTCTTGTAAACAAAGCCTGCTGTGGTAAATCATTCGCAGAATTTTCCCCATGTCCTGCTTCCTCCTTCTTTGATCCAACTTTCGGAGTTCTTAATGTTTTTCGGCGAACAGCGGACCGAAACCTTACAGACTGTTTAACGGTATTAATTGTTGTGGTTTCATTTTCGTCAACCGTACTTTCAGTAAAACTGTTTTCATTAGAAGGCTTAAAATCGTCGGTTGTTTCTCCACGCGATTGTTTCACTGCTTTGGTGCCGCTCTCTGTTTTTCCATTGCTATTATTATTAATGCTACTAATGCGATAGTTCTGTCCGTTTACGTTAGCAAACGTAGTAGTCTTTACTATAGGACTTTTCCTGTCCACAGGATAATTAATTTCCGTGCTTAATAGCTGTACAGGCGCTTGATAGAATTCTACAGTTGTGACTCTTTCTAATGGTACCACATTAAGAGGGTATTTTCGTGGATTTGCAGCAGCTCGGAACTGGGCTGGTTCAAATGTGGGTAGCTGTTGTGAAGTAGGCCATAAATTATTATTGTTTAGTTGACGATCAGTTGCGTCTTGGACTACAACCGTATCAGAAAATGTTTCAACGTCAGTCTCAGGCTGCTCTGTTCTCGTTGGCAATTCAAATTGGGGGCCCAGTGGCCTGTAACCACTTGGGGGATATGGCGCTTCCGAAAACACGGAATTTGCAACCAATGAAAAAATGAAGAAAACCTAAAGAAGAATAGAATAATGTACAAGTACAGGATAATAACATCTCAATGATAGAAAAAAGCAGTTGAGAATTTTGGGTGATTCATCAGATGCATTTCGCAAAATATGTCCTATATGATTCAAGAAGAAAGTTTGTTTAATGTTAGCGTATTAATAAGAACAGCTTTTGGTGTTGTTGACAAAAGGGATTTGTTCTAACCTCGTCACCTGAAGAATGACCTAGAAAGGCGTTCTAAAGGTCAAAAATTGGTAAGATGTTAATGGACAGGTCGTGGGCATAATCCTGAACTCCTAAACCCCCCCTAATTACGTTAATGAAGATGCAATATCATTTCTTCCATTTAATCCTAAATCATGAGTTATTTCTAAATAAAATTGATAAAAAAAGTAGATAGAACTTTCTACATTGCTAGCAACAACTATAAAACTGATAAAGCATGGCAATCTGATGCGTGCGTATTGGAATTGGGAGACAGCAACAAAGTATACGTTGGACAAACGGGCAGATCCCCTAATCAATGGAGAAAAGAACATAAAAAATTTCATCAGAATTAAAGGAATACCACCTATGCAGAGCACTATATTAAAGAAAACCGTGAAGTTGTCCTCTTCAAAGTAATAAATATTTTACCTAATGCAAATAAACGAATCAGGCATGAAGGTCTAGTCAGAGACATATTAAAGGCAGAAACAGGAGTTAGAAGTAGGGTTGCCATCCGTCCGGATTTCCCCGGATTTGTCCTAGTTTAGAGGCCATCCGGGGAGCGTCCGGGGGGGCTTCATTTGTAGTCCTGGTTTAAAAATTTAAAGTCTTGGGCCGCCCGCGGCACACAAAAAAAATCTAACTGATTATTAAAACAATTTGTAACAAACTGTAATAAGATTCTGTTTTGTTAGGTACCTTGAAAATGATGATAAAGAATGACTAAATTTAATTTTAAGATCCGAAAATAAATAAAAGGGTGATTTATGGCATTTTCAACTGTTTTTTGTTNTATAAAACAAATCAATTTTCAAAATGAGGTAGGTCCTATAGCATGTAGTCTGATTTTTATACTTTTTGTTTAAACAATTTCATTGTTAACAGCTTTTTTTTGTTCCGCTGACGACTTTATTGATCAATCATTTACTATTTATTGTCACACCTTAATTTAAATCCTTTCTGAATATCAAGCGACTTCAATTATTTTTAATATTATCGATTCAACACAGAATCATGTTTTGGAACAAATTCTCATTATCTTGTTTGCTATTAAACTTTTGGAACATTTCGTTGGGAGATTATATGTTTTCTTAAATGTATGTTTGGTTTTGTCCCCTGGTTTGTGCATATATTTAAGCAGATTGCCTCCTTTATTAGGTTTTTGTTCAGACAAACAGAAAGAATGAATGCTATTTTTGTAAGAAACATGTGGTGCTATTTGTATGTTTACAAAGAAATCTCACAAGCTAAGTAAGATAAAAACATGTTTAATGACAAAAACAGAAGCAAATTCTTTGCTAATTTTAAATTCACATGTATACATAATGATTTATACCATTATACCACATTTAAAATTAATTATAAATGAATTACAAATTGCTGTAGCTAATGTCAATAAATTCCAACGTATTTGTGTGCCCATCAGAGGGAAATTTCTAATTCGATTCTTTTGATGAGAATTCGTAGAAAAATCGCATGGAAACAAGATGGTTTATACTTGGAAATAAATCATAATAACACTTTGAAGTCTGTAATCAAACATATCGTGGAAACGCAATTTAACATGGGTACTTTTGATCACATTTTTATTACGTATGTTTGGTACCTGTACCTAATCCATAAAATAACGTCTACCATAATCATAATGCATACCTTTAATATTTAAAATATTCTTTGTCTTACCTTACCTATAATTATACTGCTAATTGTTATTGTTCATAATGAATCATTATCTTGCATTCGTCTCTGATTAATGATTCAATTTAAATAACATTGAACCACACAAAATGAGTTCCATTTAATTTCAAATTAAATAGCAATTTTCTCATCATCTTTTTTACAGAAACACCATAAACCAATTTACGTTTTAATACATAAGATTGGTATTTACTTGAGATAGTACAATAATATCACAACTCAATTAATAATAATATTTTTTTCTAGAAATCGTTTGTCAAGATATTCTCTTTTATTTGATTAATAAATGTTTTTATTTGCTCGGTTATAGCTCTTTAAATAACTTTTATCTTCAGCTATTAAAATTGGGACCATTTTTATTAGCGATAAATATTTAATAAGCTGGTTGATAAAAAGAAAATTAATTTAAAGTGATTATTGTGTACAAATGACAACAATTTTGTTTCATAAATGTAGAATGGTCAGTAGGTACATAAATACTAAATAGATTGGGTTCGGTTAGGTTAAGTAATTTGTTGGTTAGGTACTTAGATATTTCACTGGCATTTAAATATTATTTATATACTCATCGTATGGATTTAAATACTGACCCTACATAATATTTAAATACTCACTAAAAAGGATTGAAATATTGATCAGTAATCTTAAAATAAAAGAGAAAAAGAGCAGAAAAAATCAATTAATTCCTTGTGGCTTTCCTGTAAGGGTTATTAGACTGTTCTTTATGAATGTTAATGTTAGCATATAGCACGAAGGAGACATAAAACAGCTAAATATTCATCTTTTATTAGATGGACAGCTACCCTCATCCGTAAGTCCATTAATAAGATGAGCGACTGTAGTCATATGTTTTTGAACGTGGACTTGCCACTTGGTCATCTTGAGCAAGGTCGTTGGCATGTAACTTAAACCTGTTTATCATTTTCTATTCCTTCTTATAATGGAGGGTCTCGAACAATAGTTTTGTATATCTATAAGAACTAGTGAAATCTATATTCTCGTCATATAATCGTGTAATGTACTCCTCCTGTTTATATTATTCAATATGATGATTTGATGACATATAAACTGCAAAAAACTACAATTGCGATTTGTAATATTAATCCTGATGCTAATTATACACACTATTGGTTAATTAAGAACCAAACACGTGGTTGCAAAATACGACATATTGTAGAAAATTTCGTTCAAATACCTTCAGCAATTTTTTTGTACATATACATTAGTCTAATAAATGCAGAATACTCTCTGATGTCAAAACAAAACACCAAGCGTCCCAAACTTCGGTAATGTTATTGTCTTCTTCGGGAACTGAGGAGAACTTTATCCCTGTAGATGACCTTGTTACCGAAAAGTACTTTGGGCGCTTAGCGGTGTCTTATTTTGGCGTTGGGATTTGAACTATTTATTAGAGTGTTCTACAACACCGCCAAAGTTTTCGAGTGTTATCGATTCCAATAATTGCAATTTAAAACTTTTCAGGGATGTTACGCGTTGTTCAAAAGATTTTGAGAAGTCTGTTAGTTTAGAATATTTTTTAGAGAAGCAGATGATGTTTTCACGCATTCGCAAAATTATGCATATCTATATTTTTTAAACCAGGTCTACCTAAAAACACCAACTGCTTCTCTAAAAAATGATGTTCTGAACTAACGGACTTGTCAAAATCTTTTGAACAAAGCCTAACATCCTTCGAAATGTTTAAATCGCACGTTTGGACTTACGTTCATTACTACTTAGATATGGGAATAGTTAGGACGATCAAAATTGGCATAATCCGCAATGAAACTATCACATTTACTTCTTTCTTTCAACTTACTGGCTAAAATGGAGCGGTTGCTGACAGAACTCCTACTTTTACTCAAAAATAGACGTTGTAGCGATTATCGCAAACATAGAAAAGAGATGTCAGGTAGCAATTGCAGCGGACACTAATAAAGAAAAAGAAATAACATTACACCAGTTGATGTGTAACAGAAAGAGATGCAGGCAAGCAGAATTTGAGCATCGGACTTTAAANATACATTTTAATAAAAATCTAAATGCTGACGTTGCTGTAAATCCCCCATGCATTTGGTACTTCTCCAGTTATATTAGCTGGAGTGTGTTATCTGTGTTCTGCAAATATTAAACGGTGGAGTATGTAAATGAAGCTATTAACGATTTAAATGTTTTAATACGTTTTAATAAAAATCTAAGTGCTGACGTTGCTGTAAATCCCCCAGATATTTGGTACTTCCCCGGTTGTATTAGCTGGAGTGTGTAATCTGTGGTTCTGCAAATATTAAACGATGGAGTATGTAAATGCAGCTATTAACAATTTAAATGTTTTAACACATTTTAATAAAAATCTAAATGCTGATGTTGCTGTAAATCCCCCATGTTTTGGTTATATTAGCTGGAGTGTATTATCTGTGTTCTGTAAATATTAAACGGTGGAGTATGTAAATGAAGCTATTAACGATTTAAATGTTTTAATACATTTTAATAAAAACCTAAATGCTGACATTCTAACATCCCTTTATAAGGAAAATATATCGTAGACGTAGCTACTCAAATAAATTTAAAAATGACCTATGCTATTAAAAGTTTCAAATAAAATATCTACTAAACGGTTAGTTGTTTGTATTTTAACTGAAAATGAATATTTTATGGGAAGTAAATAATACTCATTAACTAATTAAGAACAGTAAAAAAAATGAAATCTGCATGGAATTATACAAGATGAACTTTTACTCACTTCAAATTGTAATTTCAAAAAATATTGATTATTGATCATTTAATGTATGAAATAATATTAAAACACTTAAGAAAATGTATCACAGAATTTGTAGCATTACTGTACCAAAATCTGAATAAAAGTTTCATCTAAATTGGCTAATTGGTTTTCAAGGAAATAGCGGATATAAATAATGACCAGGAACATAAACTCGTTCATTAAAATCGTACATTTAGTGCATACTTGTTTTATAAAACATCATTCTGTGCAAATAACATCAATGTTAATAATTCTTGTGGTATCAGAGACGCTATTTTAAAATTTGGGGAGATACATCAATAAACTTTAGGGGTGACTACGCCGCCAGTTATTGATTAGAGTTACACAATTTTCTTGGGAAGTGCAAGGCAAATAGACCAATACAAACACTGCTATAACGTGATGCTATTATGGGATAAATCTATTTATAACAATTTTATTTAAAATAACTATACTCAAGTCAGTCAAAATTTACGTATTTTATACATCCACACATCTATCTTATAGTTAAGTCTTTGTGAATACTTTATACTTGGCATGTTTCACGATTTTAGATAAGGGAGATTAGTTAAACATTGTCTTTTTTATAAATAAACACTGCATCATAAAAGGAGTAAACATTTTGGGATAATAACAACTAGATTTGCAATATATTCGCTGTAAANTTATGACATTTTCAACTGTTTTTTGTTACACTGACTATGTTTAAAAAAACCTGTTGACATGTCCGGGTTCTGGACTCTAAAATCCGGGGTTTTCACGCGTCTTGTCCTAGTTTCCAAATTTTAGAGATGGCAACCCTAGTTAGGAGGGGTAGAGGTAGACTTAGATTAGATTACTGTTCGCAAATAGTTAAGAATGCGGGATGTTCTAGTTTTAGGGAAATTCGAAGATTAGCTCAGAGGATAGGAAAGAGTGGAGGTACGTGTCCAACCAGTCTTAGGACTGACGACCTTGTAATGATGATGATGATGAAATAAACGAAACCTAACAGAAACCACGATTATTAATAATATGTGTAATAAATCAAGTAAGTATCCATTTTGAAGAGTGAATTTTAAAACATTTCGGTGCTTTCCTCATATCAAATATACATTTTTGAAATATTTATACAAAAATATGATACTTTGTATTTGAAATCTTAAAAAAAATTGTATAGTAAAAGTGAAACCAGTGACTTTTGTTGTAGAATAAGCAATTGCAAAAAACCAAAATCACAACACCACTTAGATTTACAATTCACGTAAACTGTACTGTGAAACTTTTACCGTAATAATTGAAAAATATTTTGTTACATGCACATACATATACAAAAAAGTAGGTATACCTTCATGATTGACAAGTCGCACAGCACTACATCAACAAAATAAACATTTATTTCGTTTTATACCACGAAATTAGTATTCACAGAGGAATCCTTAAGGAAACATGCCGCACAGACATGTTACACACACATACATAATGTATACGATTGTATAACAATTGAAACGAAATTCGGCCTTATTTTCGACTATGAGGCAACACTGTGTCGAACAATAGTCATTAACGCTTGCACCATTTAAAAATTCACGACAAGTTCGTTTAGCAAATTTTTTCCGCGTAAAGAAACAATCACTAATTGCAAGGTACTATTACTGTTCGGTATGACCGGGTCCATGAATAGTCTAATATTTCAGCGTCACGCAATGTCATCCAGATTTGCGTAGAATTCACAAGTGCATTTTTAAATTTCTCATTTTTATTTAAATTTACTAACGCACGTACTGTACCACCTTTATTTCGACTTGCATTTGAAATCTGCCGACACCATGAGATTCTACGTACTTTTTTACGTAATATTCTTTAGTTAGAATCTCCAGGATAATTTTTCAGGGGTAGAAAATTCACGAGCGCCTTTTTATATTTAGCATTTTTACGTGAATTTATCAACGCACCCATTGTACCGTCTTTATTTNATTTTAATAAAAATCTAAGTGCTGACGTTGCTGTAAATCCCCCATGCATTTGGTACTTCTCCAGTTATATTAGCTGGAGTGTGTTATCTGTGTTCTGCAAATATTAAACGGTGGAGTATGTAAATGAAGCTATTAACGATTTAAATGTTTTAATACATTTTAATAAAAATCTAAGTGCTGACGTTGCTGTAAATCCCCCATGCATTTGGTACTTCTCCAGTTATATTAGCTGGAGTGTGTTATCTGTGTTCTGCAAATATTAAACGGTGGAGTATGTAAATGAAGCTATTAACGATTTAAATGTTTTAATACATTTTAATAAAAATCTAAGTGCTGACGTTGCTGTAAATCCCCCATGCATTTGGTACTTCTCCAGTTATATTAGCTGGAGTGTGTTATCTGTGTTCTGCAAATATTAAACGGTGGAGTATGTAAATGAAGCTATTAACGATTTAAATGTTTTAATACATTTTAATAAAAATCTAAGTGCTGACGTTGCTGTAAATCCCCCATGCATTTGGTACTTCTCCAGTTATATTAGCTGGAGTGTGTTATCTGTGTTCTGCAAATATTAAACGGTGGAGTATGTAAATGAAGCTATTAACGATTTAAATGTTTTAATACATTTTAATAAAAATCTAAGTGCTGACGTTGCTGTAAATCCCCCATGCATTTGGTACTTCTCCAGTTATATTAGCTGGAGTGTGTTATCTGTGTTCTGCAAATATTAAACGGTGGAGTATGTAAATGAAGCTATTAACGATTTAAATGTTTTAATACATTTTAATAAAAATCTAAGTGCTGACGTTGCTGTAAATCCCCCATGCATTTGGTACTTCTCCAGTTATATTAGCTGGAGTGTGTTATCTGTGTTCTGCAAATATTAAACGGTGGAGTATGTAAATGAAGCTATTAACGATTTAAATGTTTTAATACATTTTAATAAAAATCTAAGTGCTGACGTTGCTGTAAATCCCCCATGCATTTGGTACTTCTCCAGTTATATTAGCTGGAGTGTGTTATCTGTGTTCTGCAAATATTAAACGGTGGAGTATGTAAATGAAGCTATTAACGATTTAAATGTTTTAATACATTTTAATAAAAATCTAAGTGCTGACGTTGCTGTAAATCCCCCATGCATTTGGTACTTCTCCAGTTATATTAGCTGGAGTGTGTTATCTGTGTTCTGCAAATATTAAACGGTGGAGTATGTAAATGAAGCTATTAACGATTTAAATGTTTTAATACATTTTAATAAAAATCTAAGTGCTGACGTTGCTGTAAATCCCCCATGCATTTGGTACTTCTCCAGTTATATTAGCTGGAGTGTGTTATCTGTGTTCTGCAAATATTAAACGGTGGAGTATGTAAATGAAGCTATTAACGATTTAAATGTTTTAATACATTTTAATAAAAATCTAAGTGCTGACGTTGCTGTAAATCCCCCATGCATTTGGTACTTCTCCAGTTATATTAGCTGGAGTGTGTTATCTGTGTTCTGCAAATATTAAACGGTGGAGTATGTAAATGAAGCTATTAACGATTTAAATGTTTTAATACATTTTAATAAAAATCTAAGTGCTGACGTTGCTGTAAATCCCCCATGCATTTGGTACTTCTCCAGTTATATTAGCTGGAGTGTGTTATCTGTGTTCTGCAAATATTAAACGGTGGAGTATGTAAATGAAGCTATTAACGATTTAAATGTTTTAATACATTTTAATAAAAATCTAAGTGCTGACGTTGCTGTAAATCCCCCATGCATTTGGTACTTCTCCAGTTATATTAGCTGGAGTGTGTTATCTGTGTTCTGCAAATATTAAACGGTGGAGTATGTAAATGAAGCTATTAACGATTTAAATGTTTTAATACATTTTAATAAAAATCTAAGTGCTGACGTTGCTGTAAATCCCCCATGCATTTGGTACTTCTCCAGTTATATTAGCTGGAGTGTGTTATCTGTGTTCTGCAAATATTAAACGGTGGAGTATGTAAATGAAGCTATTAACGATTTAAATGTTTTAATACATTTTAATAAAAATCTAAGTGCTGACGTTGCTGTAAATCCCCCATGCATTTGGTACTTCTCCAGTTATATTAGCTGGAGTGTGTTATCTGTGTTCTGCAAATATTAAACGGTGGAGTATGTAAATGAAGCTATTAACGATTTAAATGTTTTAATACATTTTAATAAAAATCTAAGTGCTGACGTTGCTGTAAATCCCCCATGCATTTGGTACTTCTCCAGTTATATTAGCTGGAGTGTGTTATCTGTGTTCTGCAAATATTAAACGGTGGAGTATGTAAATGAAGCTATTAACGATTTAAATGTTTTAATACATTTTAATAAAAATCTAAGTGCTGACGTTGCTGTAAATCCCCCATGCATTTGGTACTTCTCCAGTTATATTAGCTGGAGTGTGTTATCTGTGTTCTGCAAATATTAAACGGTGGAGTATGTAAATGAAGCTATTAACGATTTAAATGTTTTAATACATTTTAATAAAAATCTAAGTGCTGACGTTGCTGTAAATCCCCCATGCATTTGGTACTTCTCCAGTTATATTAGCTGGAGTGTGTTATCTGTGTTCTGCAAATATTAAACGGTGGAGTATGTAAATGAAGCTATTAACGATTTAAATGTTTTAATACATTTTAATAAAAATCTAAGTGCTGACGTTGCTGTAAATCCCCCATGCATTTGGTACTTCTCCAGTTATATTAGCTGGAGTGTGTTATCTGTGTTCTGCAAATATTAAACGGTGGAGTATGTAAATGAAGCTATTAACGATTTAAATGTTTTAATACATTTTAATAAAAATCTAAGTGCTGACGTTGCTGTAAATCCCCCATGCATTTGGTACTTCTCCAGTTATATTAGCTGGAGTGTGTTATCTGTGTTCTGCAAATATTAAACGGTGGAGTATGTAAATGAAGCTATTAACGATTTAAATGTTTTAATACATTTTAATAAAAATCTAAGTGCTGACGTTGCTGTAAATCCCCCATGCATTTGGTACTTCTCCAGTTATATTAGCTGGAGTGTGTTATCTGTGTTCTGCAAATATTAAACGGTGGAGTATGTAAATGAAGCTATTAACGATTTAAATGTTTTAATACATTTTAATAAAAATCTAAGTGCTGACGTTGCTGTAAATCCCCCATGCATTTGGTACTTCTCCAGTTATATTAGCTGGAGTGTGTTATCTGTGTTCTGCAAATATTAAACGGTGGAGTATGTAAATGAAGCTATTAACGATTTAAATGTTTTAATACATTTTAATAAAAATCTAAGTGCTGACGTTGCTGTAAATCCCCCATGCATTTGGTACTTCTCCAGTTATATTAGCTGGAGTGTGTTATCTGTGTTCTGCAAATATTAAACGGTGGAGTATGTAAATGAAGCTATTAACGATTTAAATGTTTTAATACATTTTAATAAAAATCTAAGTGCTGACGTTGCTGTAAATCCCCCATGCATTTGGTACTTCTCCAGTTATATTAGCTGGAGTGTGTTATCTGTGTTCTGCAAATATTAAACGGTGGAGTATGTAAATGAAGCTATTAACGATTTAAATGTTTTAATACATTTTAATAAAAATCTAAGTGCTGACGTTGCTGTAAATCCCCCATGCATTTGGTACTTCTCCAGTTATATTAGCTGGAGTGTGTTATCTGTGTTCTGCAAATATTAAACGGTGGAGTATGTAAATGAAGCTATTAACGATTTAAATGTTTTAATACATTTTAATAAAAATCTAAGTGCTGACGTTGCTGTAAATCCCCCATGCATTTGGTACTTCTCCAGTTATATTAGCTGGAGTGTGTTATCTGTGTTCTGCAAATATTAAACGGTGGAGTATGTAAATGAAGCTATTAACGATTTAAATGTTTTAATACATTTTAATAAAAATCTAAGTGCTGACGTTGCTGTAAATCCCCCATGCATTTGGTACTTCTCCAGTTATATTAGCTGGAGTGTGTTATCTGTGTTCTGCAAATATTAAACGGTGGAGTATGTAAATGAAGCTATTAACGATTTAAATGTTTTAATACATTTTAATAAAAATCTAAGTGCTGACGTTGCTGTAAATCCCCCATGCATTTGGTACTTCTCCAGTTATATTAGCTGGAGTGTGTTATCTGTGTTCTGCAAATATTAAACGGTGGAGTATGTAAATGAAGCTATTAACGATTTAAATGTTTTAATACATTTTAATAAAAATCTAAGTGCTGACGTTGCTGTAAATCCCCCATGCATTTGGTACTTCTCCAGTTATATTAGCTGGAGTGTGTTATCTGTGTTCTGCAAATATTAAACGGTGGAGTATGTAAATGAAGCTATTAACGATTTAAATGTTTTAATACATTTTAATAAAAATCTAAGTGCTGACGTTGCTGTAAATCCCCCATGCATTTGGTACTTCTCCAGTTATATTAGCTGGAGTGTGTTATCTGTGTTCTGCAAATATTAAACGGTGGAGTATGTAAATGAAGCTATTAACGATTTAAATGTTTTAATACATTTTAATAAAAATCTAAGTGCTGACGTTGCTGTAAATCCCCCATGCATTTGGTACTTCTCCAGTTATATTAGCTGGAGTGTGTTATCTGTGTTCTGCAAATATTAAACGGTGGAGTATGTAAATGAAGCTATTAACGATTTAAATGTTTTAATACATTTTAATAAAAATCTAAGTGCTGACGTTGCTGTAAATCCCCCATGCATTTGGTACTTCTCCAGTTATATTAGCTGGAGTGTGTTATCTGTGTTCTGCAAATATTAAACGGTGGAGTATGTAAATGAAGCTATTAACGATTTAAATGTTTTAATACATTTTAATAAAAATCTAAGTGCTGACGTTGCTGTAAATCCCCCATGCATTTGGTACTTCTCCAGTTATATTAGCTGGAGTGTGTTATCTGTGTTCTGCAAATATTAAACGGTGGAGTATGTAAATGAAGCTATTAACGATTTAAATGTTTTAATACATTTTAATAAAAATCTAAGTGCTGACGTTGCTGTAAATCCCCCATGCATTTGGTACTTCTCCAGTTATATTAGCTGGAGTGTGTTATCTGTGTTCTGCAAATATTAAACGGTGGAGTATGTAAATGAAGCTATTAACGATTTAAATGTTTTAATACATTTTAATAAAAATCTAAGTGCTGACGTTGCTGTAAATCCCCCATGCATTTGGTACTTCTCCAGTTATATTAGCTGGAGTGTGTTATCTGTGTTCTGCAAATATTAAACGGTGGAGTATGTAAATGAAGCTATTAACGATTTAAATGTTTTAATACATTTTAATAAAAATCTAAGTGCTGACGTTGCTGTAAATCCCCCATGCATTTGGTACTTCTCCAGTTATATTAGCTGGAGTGTGTTATCTGTGTTCTGCAAATATTAAACGGTGGAGTATGTAAATGAAGCTATTAACGATTTAAATGTTTTAATACATTTTAATAAAAATCTAAGTGCTGACGTTGCTGTAAATCCCCCATGCATTTGGTACTTCTCCAGTTATATTAGCTGGAGTGTGTTATCTGTGTTCTGCAAATATTAAACGGTGGAGTATGTAAATGAAGCTATTAACGATTTAAATGTTTTAATACATTTTAATAAAAATCTAAGTGCTGACGTTGCTGTAAATCCCCCATGCATTTGGTACTTCTCCAGTTATATTAGCTGGAGTGTGTTATCTGTGTTCTGCAAATATTAAACGGTGGAGTATGTAAATGAAGCTATTAACGATTTAAATGTTTTAATACATTTTAATAAAAATCTAAGTGCTGACGTTGCTGTAAATCCCCCATGCATTTGGTACTTCTCCAGTTATATTAGCTGGAGTGTGTTATCTGTGTTCTGCAAATATTAAACGGTGGAGTATGTAAATGAAGCTATTAACGATTTAAATGTTTTAATACATTTTAATAAAAATCTAAATGCTGACGTTGCTGTAAATCCCCCATGCATTTGGTACTTCTCCAGTTATATTAGCTGGAGTGTGTTATCTGTGTTCTGCAAATATTAAACGGTGGAGTATGTAAATGAAGCTATTAACGATTTAAATGTTTTAATACATTTTAATAAAAACCTAAATGCTGACATTCTAACATCCCTTTATAAGGAAAATATATCGTAGACGTAGCTACTCAAATAAATTTAAAAATGACCTATGCTATTAAAAGTTTCAAATAAAATATCTACTAAACGGTTAGTTGTTTGTATTTTAACTGAAAATGAATATTTTATGGGAAGTAAATAATACTCATTAACTAATTAAGAACAGTAAAAAAAATGAAATCTGCATGGAATTATACAAGATGAACTTTTACTCACTTCAAATTGTAATTTCAAAAAATATTGATTATTGATCATTTAATGTATGAAATAATATTAAAACACTTAAGAAAATGTATCACAGAATTTGTAGCATTACTGTACCAAAATCTGAATAAAAGTTTCATCTAAATTGGCTAATTGGTTTTCAAGGAAATAGCGGATATAAATAATGACCAGGAACATAAACTCGTTCATTAAAATCGTACATTTAGTGCATACTTGTTTTATAAAACATCATTCTGTGCAAATAACATCAATGTTAATAATTCTTGTGGTATCAGAGACGCTATTTTAAAATTTGGGGAGATACATCAATAAACTTTAGGGGTGACTACGCCGCCAGTTATTGATTAGAGTTACACAATTTTCTTGGGAAGTGCAAGGCAAATAGACCAATACAAACACTGCTATAACGTGATGCTATTATGGGATAAATCTATTTATAACAATTTTATTTAAAATAACTATACTCAAGTCAGTCAAAATTTACGTATTTTATACATCCACACATCTATCTTATAGTTAAGTCTTTGTGAATACTTTATACTTGGCATGTTTCACGATTTTAGATAAGGGAGATTAGTTAAACATTGTCTTTTTTATAAATAAACACTGCATCATAAAAGGAGTAAACATTTTGGGATAATAACAACTAGATTTGCAATATATTCGCTGTAAACTTACCTTCCATTAGTTGTAAAACTCTAAGAGTAATGACATGACTCTTTCTTATTAATTAACTGTTAAATATGACATACAAAATGACATTGTAATTTTTATAATTATTGATAAAAAGAAATTGAATTCCTAAAAAATGATAATGACAAAATGTTATACCTTCAAAGCTTAGTGTTAAGTGAATAAAACTTATTAGTGTTTGATTAAAGTATTGCACAACTTTGTAATCTGTAGGTGAAACGTGATTTATTTTTGTAATGATTTTGATTTAATAAAGCAGTGAATTAAGAGCTAGGAAATAAAAAATGGACATCTACAACTCCATAGAAAAAAGTGAAGGAGTACCAGAAGGAAGAATATTAAATAGTTTACAATCAACAGGGAACACTTCAAAAAGAACAGAATTACCCAAAGAAGTTCGAATATGTTTAATTGTTGTTAGTAGTTTGTAAGTGTTTATTATCAACTGGAAAAAAGTAAGTATGTTAAAGCTGGTTTAATTTGCAGATTAATTTTATCGTTTTTAATATGTATAATAGCCTTTGTGGTAATTCCCGTTGTGTTCATGTATTCTATTGAGTTTCAAAGGTTTGCGATGTTCCCCGCAAGTAAGTGCTTGTTAAAAAATAAAATGGAAACTAAATAATAAATTTTCTTATAAGAAAACATTTTTCAGTCAACGATCCGCAAGCTGATTATAATAATACTGAAATTTATGGTAAAGGAATTCGAAACTTTTACGTAACAACGAATGAGACCGAAAATATTGTCCTAGGTGTTTGGCACCTATTGCCCGACTCACTAGTTGAAACGTTGAAAGAAAATGATAGCTTTGATTATGACGAAGCACTTAAAAATAAGACTTATAACATTATCCTGTATTTTCATGGTAATTCAGGAAACAGAATTTCGCCTTTGAATACGTACGAGGTTTTGAGGCAGTTTTTTCACGTTATAGCATTCGATTACAGAGGTTAGTGCCTTTTTTCGGTATTATTCAGCTGAATAGATAGAATTTTATAGTTTCATATTGAATATAGAGTTGTAAACACTTATGCAAAAGAGCGTGACTTAAGCATTACTGACTAAGGCAAAATGGCGTCCCATTAATATTCAAAATAAAAGTTGGTGCCATTCAGATTTAAAAAGAAATAAACTTTGACAGGGTATGGTGATTCAACGTCGGCTGTAATGTCTGAAGAAAATGTGGTCGAAGATTGTGTGGAACTATACAAATGGCTTACGAAGGAAACCAACAATACAATTTATGTGTGGGGCCATTCTCTTGGATCTGCGTTAGCTACACATACCGTAGCAAAGTTGCATTGTTTAGGATTCGTACCATTTGGGTTGTTTCTTGAAGCGCCTTTTAACAATATGGCTGAAGAAGTTATCTATCACCCCATGGGAAAGGTAGAAAACGCATTATTTCCTACACTTTTTCCAATTCTGAACCAATCTTAGCATTTCCATAAAACTGAAGCATCCCACATCCTTAACCATTTGTGAACTGTAATCTAATCTAGGTCGTTTCATCTTACAATCCCCAAATATAAGTATAAATAACTATCCTTCGGGAATTATGTCGGTGGTCATACACGTGCTACAATTCTCTTCCTTTTCTTCCTCCACCTTCAAGGAAGAAGAATTATGTATTCCTTAACATTTGATAGTCATCACAAAAGTCATCCTCAAAGGATAGTTAGAAAGGTCCCGTTTTTATTACCCTATGGTAATGGTAAAAAATGCAAATCCATTTCGTCTTACAATTCCCAAATGTATAAAGGGCAATTTTTTTGGGAACTATGACGATGGTCATACACGTGCTACAATTCTCCTCCTATTCTTTCACCCACCAAAGAACCTTCGAGAAAGGAGAATTATTTAAATATAGGACCATCAATGAACCCAAAAGCTTATTCCTTAACATTTGATATTCACCATAAAAGTCGCCATCAAAGGTTAGCTACATAGGGGCTCGTTTTTATCACCTCATGGGAAAGATAGAAGACGCATTATTTCCATTTCGTCTTACAATTCCCAAATATATAAGGGGCGGTCTTTCGGGAACTATGACGGTGGCCATACACGTACTGCAACTCTCCTCCTTTTTTTCCTCCAACCAAAGAACCTTCCAGGGAGGAGAATTATTAAAATATAAGACTACCTATAAACCCGAGAGATTATTCCTTAACATTTGATATTCATCATAAAAGTCATCATCAAAGAATAGCTAGAGAGGACCCATTTTTATCATCCCATGGGAAAGGTAGAAAAATCATTATTTCCATTTCGTCGTACAATTCCCAAATGTATAAGGAGCGATCTTTCGGGAACCATGACGGTGGCCATACACATATTACAACTCACCTCCCATTCTTCTTCCAATCAAGAAACCTTTGAGGAAGGAGAATTATTAAGATATAAGACCATCAATAACCCCAGAAACTCATTCCTTAGCTTTTGATAATGATCACAAAGGTTATCATCAAATGATTGTTAGAAAGGTTCTGTTTTTTTAAATTCGTCACTTTTCAATTTCAAAAATTAGATAAAAAGCACCTTTTTAGATCTTATCATGGCTACCTTGGTTTAAAGAAACCATTATCAACCCCTTAATGAACAATGGTTTTAAATTTGAGACTGATAAAACGATTGCGATGGTAGACTGTCCAGTATTAATTCTAAATGCAGAAGACGATGATACGGTCCCATCGTTTTTGGTAAAAAAGGTAAATCATTAAAAGCTCCAACATTATTACATTCCATTTCCTCTTTTCAGTTCAATTAAGTGATAAAAACAAATGTTTTACGCAAAATTTGAATTTTATTCTGTTTTTTTTTTATTTCTACATAACATTTATTATAACATACTTTTAACGTATTTATAACACTGCCTTTTCCAACGCATTCTTATTTAGACAACCAACTTAACAGATGTGTGAGAGTGTAATGCTAAACTGAAGGTTTCTGGCTTGTTAAAAGTTTCAAACAGAACAAATGTTTTATTCGCTGTTTATCAAATAAAGATAAATTAACGTTATTAAATTCATTACATAATGAAGCTACTTTACAGCTTTTAATAGCAGCTCAAGATCAACGTAATTTTACCTATCAAGGTCTAGTATTGCACCATGAATTTCCAAAACATTTTGGATATGGCCATCAGTATATACACAGAGCTCCGGATTTACCAAATTTAATTAGGTAAATAAAATTATTAATACATATATTTTCATTTATCAATCATAACAAAACAGTTGCCCTCTCATGGTATATATTTGATAAATTCCATTCAAATGTGATGCCTTATTATTTCATGCTTCCACTTTTATTCCAGGGGATTTGTAGAAGAGTGTAAAGCATTCGCAAAATTAAGTGTTTAAATTTGTTAAGAGAATAGTTTTTGTTGAGGAAATAAAGTTGTTGTTTTAAACGAACCGCGTTTCATTTAACGAAGTTGGTGCAAAGTGTGCATAAAACAAAGAGTGCCCTAGGATTGGCTCACTGTCGGGCTGGTCAAAATTCATAAACATGGCGGTGGTTGTGTTGTAGGTGTCACTCCGCGTTGACGTCGAGTATTCCGGGCATATTCCCGATTTATGTGATTTAAACGTGCAAATATTTAACGTGAACAGACGTATTTCTGTCCGTGTATTCACTTAGTTTTAGTAATGTTTAAGAAAAGTTAATCGTTGTGTTATAAAACAAATCAATTTTCAAAATGAGGTAGGTCCTATAGCATGTAGTCTGATTTTTATACTTTTTGTTTAAACAATTTCATTGTTAACAGCTTTTTTTTGTTCCGCTGACGACTTTATTGATCAATCATTTACTATTTATTGTCACACCTTAATTTAAATCCTTTCTGAATATCAAGCGACTTCAATTATTTTTAATATTATCGATTCAACACAGAATCATGTTTTGGAACAAATTCTCATTATCTTGTTTGCTATTAAACTTTTGGAACATTTCGTTGGGAGATTATATGTTTTCTTAAATGTATGTTTGGTTTTGTCCCCTGGTTTGTGCATATATTTAAGCAGATTGCCTCCTTTATTAGGTTTTTGTTCAGACAAACAGAAAGAATGAATGCTATTTTTGTAAGAAACATGTGGTGCTATTTGTATGTTTACAAAGAAATCTCACAAGCTAAGTAAGATAAAAACATGTTTAATGACAAAAACAGAAGCAAATTCTTTGCTAATTTTAAATTCACATGTATACATAATGATTTATACCATTATACCACATTTAAAATTAATTATAAATGAATTACAAATTGCTGTAGCTAATGTCAATAAATTCCAACGTATTTGTGTGCCCATCAGAGGGAAATTTCTAATTCGATTCTTTTGATGAGAATTCGTAGAAAAATCGCATGGAAACAAGATGGTTTATACTTGGAAATAAATCATAATAACACTTTGAAGTCTGTAATCAAACATATCGTGGAAACGCAATTTAACATGGGTACTTTTGATCACATTTTTATTACGTATGTTTGGTACCTGTACCTAATCCATAAAATAACGTCTACCATAATCATAATGCATACCTTTAATATTTAAAATATTCTTTGTCTTACCTTACCTATAATTATACTGCTAATTGTTATTGTTCATAATGAATCATTATCTTGCATTCGTCTCTGATTAATGATTCAATTTAAATAACATTGAACCACACAAAATGAGTTCCATTTAATTTCAAATTAAATAGCAATTTTCTCATCATCTTTTTTACAGAAACACCATAAACCAATTTACGTTTTAATACATAAGATTGGTATTTACTTGAGATAGTACAATAATATCACAACTCAATTAATAATAATATTTTTTTCTAGAAATCGTTTGTCAAGATATTCTCTTTTATTTGATTAATAAATGTTTTTATTTGCTCGGTTATAGCTCTTTAAATAACTTTTATCTTCAGCTATTAAAATTGGGACCATTTTTATTAGCGATAAATATTTAATAAGCTGGTTGATAAAAAGAAAATTAATTTAAAGTGATTATTGTGTACAAATGACAACAATTTTGTTTCATAAATGTAGAATGGTCAGTAGGTACATAAATACTAAATAGATTGGGTTCGGTTAGGTTAAGTAATTTGTTGGTTAGGTACTTAGATATTTCACTGGCATTTAAATATTATTTATATACTCATCGTATGGATTTAAATACTGACCCTACATAATATTTAAATACTCACTAAAAAGGATTGAAATATTGATCAGTAATCTTAAAATAAAAGAGAAAAAGAGCAGAAAAAATCAATTAATTCCTTGTGGCTTTCCTGTAAGGGTTATTAGACTGTTCTTTATGAATGTTAATGTTAGCATATAGCACGAAGGAGACATAAAACAGCTAAATATTCATCTTTTATTAGATGGACAGCTACCCTCATCCGTAAGTCCATTAATAAGATGAGCGACTGTAGTCATATGTTTTTGAACGTGGACTTGCCACTTGGTCATCTTGAGCAAGGTCGTTGGCATGTAACTTAAACCTGTTTATCATTTTCTATTCCTTCTTATAATGGAGGGTCTCGAACAATAGTTTTGTATATCTATAAGAACTAGTGAAAT